CTCCAAATTCTGGAGTAGGCTCCCTTGTTCTTTTTGGTTTATTTTAATTTTTTTTAAGTTTTTCTACGTACAAGGTTCACTGTTTGGGCAATCTGGGTTATTAACCAATTTTAAAATTCTAGTTGGGTGTTAAATAATAATTTTAACTTGTAACTAAGGTCTTGAATTGTATAAATTTACCCCTTAGTTTAAATGGAATTAACAGTACGCTATTTGACAACTTTGTGTACAGTTAACGGCTGGAAGGAGATTTGTTGATTAATTTTAATCTGATGGTTTAGGGTGCTATAAAATGATTCTAAATTTATTTTTGACGCACGATGAAGTCTTTTAAAGTAATATATTGGACTTGTGGCATAGTGGGGGCTCTGTGCTAAAGGCTACAACACAGTATAAGTATATGACTTAATATTCTGTTACCGGATGGAGGGAACTAGATCGCTTAGTTTAATCTAGCGATTTATTGGACTATAATATATTATAGAACTAATTTTAAATACATGATAGGGTCATTGTTTTTATTAAATTTGAACTATGCATGTGTTGGATGTTAATTGTTAGAATAGTTTATTCTCCGATGCAATTACATGGATTATTACTGGATTTTATTTGCTAGATTGTTAAGATTCCTTCTGCAAGTATTGGATGGTGGTTTTTGGACTGTAAATTATTGAACTGTTATATATGTTGTAATTTACATGGATATGGAGGATTGTATGTACCGATATGGGACGGTGACATACTAGGGACGGTTTAGCTCAAAACGCATAAACCTAACCTAATGGATTAATGAAATGGATTGAAAGATATCGAATCCTAATGGTGGCTAAGTCAGATCAGCTGTAACCAAGTTGGATGACTTCCTGGATTAACGGATGGTAGTTAAGTCATATCCACTGAATAAGTTGAGTGACTAACTAGTTGGTTTATTGTAGGTCAGTTTAATAAATAGTTGAACTGCTTACCCTGGATTTGGACAGACTTTATATATATGTTTATGGTACCACGAGTTGAGCTTGAGTCTCAGACTCGTTGGTTAGGGTACGTATATGCAGGGGATGCGTAGCTGGTTATAATAGGTCGAGGTGTACCCTGTTAGGTCTAGGTATTCATGCCCACCCTTGGGTGCGTATTCGCATGTTGCCTTCTATTCAGGTTGAGACCCCTATTATAGACTAGTGAATGTCCCTTAGTGTGGATATATTTATACGTATGGACTAGATAGATATTGTGAGGTGTCTACGGTGTATCTGCGTATCGGGTCACTGTATAGATTGCAGTTAGATTAGAACTTGCTCGTGGGTCTGACCCACTCCTTCATTATTCTTTTCAGGTACAGGACGGTTCCAGCCTTAGAACTTGATCGTGCTTGTCGAGGACAGTCTCACATCCATCTGATTACGTAGGACTTCCCTCGATGTTTCTAGTATTATTTATTTTTAGTTTTCAGTTTCAGTTGAACTTTTAGTTAGGGGTCCATCAGTGGATTCCCAAGTTGTAACTTTGAAGTTTTGGAGGATTGGAGTTTCACTTTTCAGTTACACATGGAGGATTTTATTATTGTTATTTCTTTCAGTTTTATTATATCTTTGTTGTTCTTTTTGTCATCTGTGTTCGGTTTAAAATACTTTAATTGTTTGATATTCCCTCGGGTTTGGGCCTGGGCCTGATCAACCCGTGTCTTGGATCCGAGGGGTATCACAGTAGATACTGGCCAGAACCGGGATGGAAAGACAAATGTTGCAGCCATCTGCTAACATGCTTGCGACCTTGAAAGTCCCAGGACGAATTATGTTGCCAGGGTGTGCAGGTAAGGCAAATTTGCAGAGCCAACATGCTAAAAAAGCAGCTAGATAAGTGGTGTCTCTCGATATTTCATCTACACCAAGGTTGACAAATACTTCTTTCTCTTTGGTGGACATCGACCGGACAAGAAGGATCACACCAGACGGATTTTGAGTCCTCATAGGGCGGTGAACTTTATTTTTTGTTGATTTCTTTGAAGGTTTGGCATGTCTTGATGCACCTTTAAACCAGAAATTAATCCAGTCAGATATCTTCACATTCTGATCTCCTTTATACTTCTTGGAAAGTCTGTGGAAGGCCAAAAATAGGTGTTGACAACTCAAAGGGATAGAATTTTTGTTGTTGCCAGCTCTTGATAGTTCATCTGCACAAGGAATAACTTCATCATAAATTGTTCCTTGGTGAGGGAGACCACCTAGCATATATAGATCTCGAAGAGAAATTGATAGCTCGCCAATAGAACAATGAAGTGTATTAGTGGCTGGGCACCAACATTCAAAGAATGCTTTGAATACATCTTCATGACGATCATAGGAAAATAGGGAGGCGAATAAAGCACCATATAGTTGTTGTTTTGATAGAAAGTCGTGGAAACGCGCCAAGACATCTTCTAACCACTCCCAATATAGTTCGGTGTATAGCAATTCAGCAGGAAGTTTATACGGAATACTCCATGATATTTCCTTCGCTTGAACATTAAGACCCAATAGTGAAAACTGGTTTTCTTCAACAACTCTCTCATGAAGTGAAGAATTTAGTATCAAGGCTTTAGAGACAATAGATTCTTCATTAATCTGATCAGGACCAAAGTCGGTGAGTTTGCATGTGGCCGTGTATGTCCAATGAGATGAACAATGTTTATTGTTAGAATCAGGCACTTGAATAGCATTGCGACCAAAAAGTGTGTCATATACACTTAATGTCGTTCCTTGGACTCGTTGACTATTTTTGCTCTCTAAGATAGTCAGCTTTTGCTTTGCAAAACACTTGAACACCACCATGATGGATACCAAAGCTCAAATCGGTGTTGTCTAGAAGGAGGATTCAATTTCTGCTACGGTTGACACAAATCAAGTTGTTATACCCAATCAAGCCCTGCAAAAAAAATAAAAATAAAAAATAATAAAATAAAATAAAAATTTGCTCCAGTATGCGTGAAAAAAAAAAAAAAATGTTCTCCAGCGTGCGTGGAGTGAAAAAAAAAAAAAAATTCCCCAGTGTGCGTGGAGAGAGAAAAAATATATATATATGTTCTCCTACATACATGGAGAAGAGAAAAAAAAAAAAAAAAAAAAAAGAAGCTCCAGCCAGCGTGGAGAAGAGAAGAGAAGAGAGAAAAAAAAAAAAAAAAAAAAAAAAAAAAAAAAAAAAAAAAAAAAAAGAAGAAAAGAAGAAAAAGAAGAAAAAACACACGTACCAATTATTTGTGATCTGACAAGTTTTCAGAGATTTTTGGAATTGATATCAAACCCTACAATATTGAGGGTATATATAGGCAACAAGATACCTCCAAGTTGTATTGGGATTTGGACAATTCAATTTAAATAGGAAAGTACAATTAAGATGGAAAAAAAAGAAAAAAAAAAAACTTCAAGTCCCACTTGGAAAAAGAGACAAGTCTTGTCAAAATTGGGACTTGAAGTGGGGGTAATTTGTAGACACTAAAATTTAGTGGGCTTTGGTTTTAACGAATGGACCCATTAAATATAGGCCTAATGTTTAAATAAATTATTTAATTTACCAGGCTTGGTCCACTTAAATTATTTAATTAGCCCAGCCCAGATAATTAAATGAAACGATAATTATTCCTAATAAAATATATTTTGAATAATTATCTTTAAGGATAATTATCACAATATAACCGGCCCGGCCCAGTTATAGTTTTATCCTTATCAGGAGATGACACGTGTCATCATCCTATTAATCCAAGAAGCCTATAAATAGAGGCTTGGAGGAAGAAAAAAAGGGGAGAGGATTCAGAATTCAGAAGTCTACAAATTCAGACACAAATTCAGAATTCAGAAGTTCAAAGACTCAGAAATCCAGAGACTCAGAATTCAGACACAAATTCAGAATCGAAACCCAAAAGCGAAGAACATCAAGCACATTCAACAACGTGCCGTTTTTCATCAAATTCCACAGTGATTCAAGAACAAGCTCGTGCAGCCCTTGGATCCAACTAACCAAAAACAAGGAGATCGAATCAGAGGACCATTTTTTTTTTGTAAAAGATATTACAAAGGACTGTACTCCACATTCATAAATTAATAAAATTCTATTTTGCTCCATATTTTGTTTCTATTGCAGACTTACAAAATTTGTGTGTACATCTCTCTCTATATGTTGGCCCTTGATGCTCGATCTATAAACATGGAGAGCATCCATATGGACCATATATCTGTTGAAGCGCTCTCTTTCTGTGTACTTCGTTTTTGCTCAGCTCCAGATACACTAGCACTATACTCCGTATAACACACATATGTAGAAGTTTGTGAGGGGCATTAGAGTCCTTTAAAAGGGCATTTTGGGGTTTTAAGATAATTTTGTCTCTAAATTGATCGTGAGAGGGCAATTTGCTCCAAATGTGGAGGGAGTTATATGCAATTTATTTTTTATTTAATAGGTATAATTCTTGCACCTTTTTTTTGGTATAGTGATGGTTTTTTTGCATTTAACCCTTTTATTTATTTAAATTGTAGTTACTTAATACAAGTAGGCAAGCTTCACCAAAATTATATACATAAAATTGGTACTATTTTAACTTAATTAATCATGCATTCAGGTGTAGACTATATATTAAACTTAGCAACATAACGCATAGAACAGAGAGTTAAAGACTTAATTTCAGCAAGGCTAAGAATGACTTGCGATCTCTTCTACAAATTTTCATATTCTACCCTCATTAGGTATGTTTCTTATTGCAAAAATGCTTATCATTATTGTAAGTCCCATATTGCTTCTCCGTTACTATTAGTCTCAGCTTACACCATCCCTGTATTATCTTTCGCTCTTATTTGCTTTCTGATCCGTCGCATTGGGCTTCTTCTCTTGGTGCTGCTTTGCTTCGTCAGACCATGGGAAGTTCCTCGCACTGGGCTTCTTCACTCTCTTGGTGCTGCTTTGCATAGTCTAACCATGCGAAATCTGTCAAATTGGGCTTCTTCTCTTCACTCCCTTGGTGCTGCTTTACATAGTCAGAGTATGGGAAATCCATCGCATTGAGCTTTTTCTCTTTCACTCGCTTGGTGCTGCTTTGAATCGTCAGACCATGGGAAGTAGTCCCTTGCATTGGGCTTCTTCTCTTCACTCTCCTGGTTTTGCTTTGCATAGTCAGACCATGGGAAGTCCGTCGCATTGGGTTTCTTCTCTTCACTCTCTCGGTGCTGCTCTGCATGGTCAGACCATGTGAAGTCCGTCGCATTGGGTTTCTTTTCTTCACTCTTTTGGTGCTGCTTTGCATGGTCAGACCATGTGAAGTCCGTCGCATTGGGTTTCTTTTCTTCACTCTTTTGGTGCTGCTTTGCATGGTCAGGAAATTGGAAGTTGAGCTTTGCGGAAACTTCCTCCGCCGTAATGAGCGTGAGTGGCTTTGGTTGGGTGCTGCGAATGCTCCTCTTCTTGCCATCAAAAGCACCTTCACCGCTTGCCTCCTGTATGCTCAATCTTTCTTTACGCTTTTGGAGAGACCTGTAAAAATAAAAGTAAATAAAATTAAGCAGACTACTAATCATGCCTAACCTCAATATATATATATATATATATATATAAAGGAAAAAAAAATACTTGGCAAACATAAACAATCTTTAAGCTTCGAATGGTCTGAATTTCCCAAGTTGTAAATAAGTACATCTGCTTAGACTTTGAAAAGTAAGTGAAACGAGTAATTAAAAATGATTAATTTTAAATCACTAAACCTTAGAGGAGACATGGTGTATATAGAATGATGAGGAAATTAATTTCACGTTGACTGATTGCTTTGGCTAACCAAGAAAATTATATATCCATTTTAATTCTTAACTTTCAGGATATGGAGAGAGCGATGACCGCATTAGGCTGTTGACGGGTAGAGACAATCACCCCATCTAAAGAGTTGTTAAAGGCAATAAGGTTCATCTTCTCTACCTTCATTTTCGCAACCGACTTAGATCACGAGAATGACAATAAATAGGAGATCGGCCAGTAAATGAGGTACGCAAAAAATTTATTGCGATTCATTGAATATAGTATCTTGCAACTGTCTTTGGTCACTAATTTGACCGTCGGAGCATCCTCGGTAGTGACGTCATCCCTTTGTCTTGGAGGAAAAATTGCTGTTTAGGCTTGCATGGATTTTCGCATGAACACATAATAGAATGGAGAAAGAGAATACATATTACCAACCCCATTCATTTGGGAAAAAAAGCAAGGATGATGATGACAACAACTTTGAAAAGTCTAAATTTTTTGAGTTTCAGACACCTAACATTTTTAGCCTTGAATAGGCTTAACCAACCTTTTTAGGGAAGGAACAGCCTAATTTTCTAGGGTCCATTAACAAACCTTGGGTTCAGAATAGTCTTAATTTCCTAGATTTCAAATAATCAATCTTATAGACTTCAATTAGTCCAAACCAGATAACCAACTTTATCCGAAAAACTAATTCAGTTCCAGATAACTGACAAAGCAGGCTTCCAGTAATGTCCCTCTTGATTTTGAAAAACAGCTTGAACAGCAAGAAGTATAGTTTAATATTTGATTTCAAATCACAACCTAAATGGACTTCAACTAGTTAACTTTTGGTTTTAAATAACCACCAAAATAGTCTTCGAATAGTTAAGTCTAGATTTTGGATTGAACCTCGTTTTGATCATTATCAACATCCCACCTCAGACACGTGGGTTGGAGGTCAAAAATAAAAAACTGAAACAGAGTATGAAGAGAGTTAACACATTCCTAATGACCCATGGACGGGCTTATGAAACAGAGTCTGGAGAGAGTTAACACATCCCTAATGACCAATGGACATCCTACAGTTTGGTCGTTGACTGGTGTAAATAACCATTTCAACTTTCTTGTTAGACAATTTTGAAACTATTTGTGATGATACTAGTATCTGAAGCTTTTGTAAATTTCATTAACTCCTCCAACCACTAACAGAATCGATATATATATATATATATATAAAAGAAAAGAATATATAGAAGCAATCAAGAAATCCCACTTGCAAAAACCACATTTAACTAAAATCATACCTGCTTAATGCAGAGTGGTGCACTGACAGGTTCATTTCCACCGAACATTTCAAAGCCTCATCACACTCAATCTCACCTACATTATTGCAACCATGCAAATCCATATATTTCAATGATGTCAAGGATAATAAGCATGGTGACTGTTCATGCAGGATAAGGTTAGCTAGCATATCACATGCATATATGTCCAACCTTGTCAACGATTCCAAATTTCCAAGTCCTTGAACCTCTGTCAGCCTATTGCAACTTCTAACCGACAATCTCGACAAATTTTTCAAATTTGACAGATCGGGCAATCTTTCCAGTGAAGAACAGAATGCAAGAGATAAATCAACTAGACTTGAAGGCAACCCCAGTATAAATTGAAGACCGTGACAGAATTGTACATCGAGCACCTTAAGCTGAGAAAGGGCATCGATCTCTTTTGGTAGGGTCCTAATGTTGGTAGAATCCAAGGTCAATTTCTCCAATTTGGATAATAACCAAATATCTCTAGGAATTTCCACATACACACAGCACCCAACAAAGTGCAATTCCTGTAAATTAACAAAATTTTCAAGATTATGGATAGCAGTGACATAAAGAACCCTTAAACTTGAGGGAAGCGAAGGCTGTGATTGAAGCTCTGTGCAACCTCCTAATTTAAGGGTTTGAAGGCAAGAGAGCTCCCCAATGCTTGTTGGTATGCTTTGAATTTTGGTATCATAAAAGCTTAAGAATCTCAAAGATGTTAGGTTCCCTATATTACTAGGAATGTGCCCCTTTAAATAACTACAATGTGTGAAATCTATTACTTCCAGCTTCTCCAACATCCAAATTTCTTCAGGTATATTCCTTATATCAGTATATGAAATGTCAAACACTTTTAAATTCTTCAGATTACCAATGGATCGGTCGACTTCGACCAAACTTTTACAGCGTTGAAGAATCAATATCTCTAAAGCTGCATATGATGATAAGTCTGGCGTTCTCCTTAAAGCACAATTAGCCAGTTGTAGAACTTTCAATTTTTTTGCCACCTATTAAAACAAATAAAGTGGTAACGAAAAGGATTGTTTTTAAAACAAATAAAATAGTAACGAAAGGATTGTTTTTCAACATGTATATTATGGGATAGAAGAAACAAAAGTATGGATATTATAAATACCTTGATTTGATTCCAACCCCCCCAGTCTTCTGTGATGCCACTATTCGATAGATCAAGAACGACTAGATTCTTCGTATAGAAATTAGTTGGTTTAAAATGAGGAGGGCAACTGCGCCAATTAAGCCATCTTAACCGGGGCAGACGATGCTCAAAATCCCCAACAAGGTCCACACCGTCCACTCGGAGATACCTTAGATTCACTAGTTTTGCAAATTCCTTACTTGTAAAACGAGGCTTCTTTTCAGGTCCTAATTCAAAATGAAGACATAGGGCTTCGACCTTTTCTGTTCCCTGCCAATGGAAAAAATTAGTAAAACAACATTTTAGGACCAGATTTATTTGACTTACAACACTTAATAAGGGTATAAAATTCAGAGCACTGAGGCACTCAAATCTTACCCTTCGTCCCTCCAATAAGTTCAATGCTTCCTCATGATTCCACAACCTACTACGATTTCCCCGAATCTTTTCTTCACATATGATTTTCCTACCAAGAGTTCTAAACTGATCATGCATTTTCAGCTCATTAGGATCTCCCACTTTCATTAGAGACATGAGAAGGAGGACATTCAGTTCCCTTTTTGGATGATAGCCACAATCATCCCACATGTAAAATGCAGCTGCTTTATACATTCCAGTAAAAAGACAAGCAATATCGAGGAATATCTGTTGTTGTGCAAAATTTAATGCTTCATAAATTACTCTCAACTTTTTAATGACTTCATCATGTGGCAATTTCTCCAATTTCTTCAATGCATCCTCCCATACCGCTTTCTCCATGCTAGATAGAAACGAACCTATAACCTCAAGAACCAGAGGAAGCCCTGCAGCAGTAGATGCAACATCCATAGAAATATCTAAATAATCATTTATAGGCCACTTCTTTCTAAATGCATGCATGCTGAAAAGTTGGAGAGATTGCACATGATCCATTAATGGAAGTTCATAAGTCGCATCCACTTTAAGATCATCTAAAACATGTATGTCTCTAGTTGTAATTATGATCCTACTCCTTGAATGAAACCAATCACGCTTTCCCACAAGCGTGGTAAAATGCGAGCTTGCATCCACGTCATCAAGAACAATGAGAACTTTCTTTTTGACAACTACGTTTTTAATCAAGTCAATTCCACTATCAACATCAGCAATTTCAGGACAACTTTTTAGGGTGTCAGACAGAAGTTGTTTCTGTAAACCACTAACTCCCTTGGGTTGTTGCATCCTTTCTTGAACATCTGCCAGAAAACTACAACATTCAAAACACTTGAGAAGCTTGTTGTAGATAAATTTGGCAGTAGTTGTCTTGCCAATACCACCAATGCCATGGATACCAACTATTCGTACTTCATTGGAGACGACGTCTAATAATCTCATCATTTCTTCAAGGTGGTGATCCATTCCAACCAAGATGTCAGTTGCAACCATGAAGTTCTTCTTTAGCTCCAGCAATATTTTAGGAACAATATTCTCTTTTATAAATTTTAGTTCTTCAGACCTGATGTCAAGATGGGAAACCGGAATGAAAAATTTATTGCCAGAGGAAATCAAAGCAAAAATAAAATGATTTATAGTTTCTATATTCTGATTTTGACTTATAATTATTTATTTTAATCTTCTTGAATTAAGTAACCCGAAAAGCTTACAATTCTTCTTACATTTGTGTTTCTATCTGTCTAAATTGTTCTTTAATTTCTATATGACCAGTTACCAGGAGCTTCTTGCTTATTGTTGTTTATGGGTTCATGAATTCCAAACAACATTACCTACTGTATTAACTATATGAATTCTCTATATAATGCAATAAAATAAGGGGGCTTATAATTACTAGCAGGATAATAATCAAATGAATTACCTGTCAGGTTCTTTCATCATGTCCCAACCCTTGAGGTCTCCAACCTCTCTCAATGCCCTCTTCCATGCCTTAACAGTTTTAATGTGGAAATGTTGGGCGTGCTCGCTAAATGCTTCCTTGTAACACCTAGATTGAAGCTTCACATCAGAGGGTTGGACGTCGTAGAAGATGGGAAGAATCAATTGTCCTGTGGTTCTCTTGCACTCCACCATCTGGGTGAGCTCACGGAGGCACCATGTACTGGAGGCATAATTTCTGGAGAATATAGGGATGGAGATCTTTGACACCTTGACTGCCATTGGGAGCGCTGGTCCAATGTTTTCTCCTCGGGGATGATCTTTATCGTCCCAAAAGGTGCCAACTCGTACGCCCATGAGATGATTGTACAGGTAATCGGAGAATGCCTGGCAAGTGTTTGAGCTTCTGCAACTCAAGAAGACTTCGTATTCGCCTCCCAAAATTTCAGTATCATTGACTTTTGTAGATCGGGGAGGACTTATTACCATTTTTCCCTTTCTTTTCATCTCCATCTCCATCGATCAGCAACACTGTAATGAATCGAATATCAATCTAAATAAAACAACCTTGTATATGAGTAGTAAGGAGTATTACTAACCCTATCAAAATCAAAAATATATACAAAAAGCTCTGATCTCTCTGTGTTTCAAACTTTCAACACATCCAAAAATTATCTTTCACCACCCTCCGATTCCATTACAAATGATAAGCTCAGATCTCTCTCGTTTGGGTAAAGGAAACTGCAAATTTTCTCTTTGGTTGTGGAATTGCAAATTGATAAGCTCTAGACAACCCAACTGTCACGCCCCGCCTATGGAGGTTGTGCCACGCAGGCGACACGCAGACGCTGAGGAGGACGCTGCATGGCAACTGCATGGCAAGTGGAGTTTCTAGAGTCTTCCGGAATAGTCTAGAGTTATGTGGAAGATTCTAGATATGTGTAGAAATGTGTAGAAGTGTGTGGAAGGTTCTAGAGTTCTCCAGAGTTGTGTGGAGTAGTATAGAGAATTCTAGAATGTTGTAGATACTAGTAGATAAGTATGGAAGTGTGAAGAAGGTGGGAGAAGATTCTAGATAATCAATCTCCACCGTTGGTTAGAATGCATCCTAGTCGTCCATTAGGGATGGGGATGCCTATAAATAGAGGTAGGACTTCATTTTGTAGGAAACAAGTCCTAGAGTGAGTCTTGAGAGCCTTGTAGAGAGCTTGAGTGTTAGCCTTGTACAAAGCATTCTTTGAAGTAATAGAAGTATTCTTTCCTTGCCAACTTAAGTGCCTTAGTGTGTGTGAGTGTGCAAGCCAAGTGAGGAGAGGGCGAGGGCAACTACAACACTAGTAAGCGCACGAGGGGAGTGTGTTGGCTAAGGTGTGCACGGGAGTTAGGCTGACCAAGTACTTGTGAGAGTGGAAGCAACGTCTTGGTGCCGCACGGGAGCAGCTAGAGTGGTGCTGAAACTCTAAGCCCGTGACAGTTGGTATCAGAGCAGGTTCGCCAAGGGAGCTTTGTTGGAGTAGACATGGCTAGCGGAGGAGACCACCAAGTCCACATCTTAGAGCAGAGCTTGGAGGAGAAGCTTGCCACACACTTGGTCTACACGGAGACCAAGTTTAACAGGCTCGAGAGAAAGATGGCGGAACTTTACGAGCTGATTGATGGTATTGCCAACAAGGCACGAGAGAAGGAAAGGGACTTGTATGATCAGGTCGACGACTTGCGCGTGGAGATTGCCGAGTGCAAGAAGGAGTTCTCCCAGGCGCGCGAGGTCATGGTGAAGCCAAGGAAGAAGAAAGCTCCAGAGCCCAAGGAGTATGATGGGGCAAGGAATGCGCTCCAGATTGATAACTTCTTCTGGCACATGGAGCGGTACTTCGAGTGCATGGAGATCGAGGATGATGAGGAGAAGGTGCAGACAGGCACCATGTACCTTACGGACACTGCCGCTCTATGGTGGAGGCAGCGCTTCACCGGTAGAGGCGCAAGAGCAGTTGACACATGGGAGGAGTTCAAGAGGCAGCTCAAGAGGCAGTTCTATCCCGAGTGCGTTGAGGACCTCGCCATGATCAACCTAAGGTGCCTGAAACAGAAGGGCAGCATAAGAGAGTATGTGAAGGAGTACTCCAACTTGATGCTGGAGATCCCAGAGATGCCAGAGCGGCAACGCGTATGCTTGTTCATTGATGGGTTACAGTCTTGGGTAGCCACAGAGCTGAGAATGAGGGAGCCTAGAGACTTGGCATCAGCAATGGCTATAGCGGAGCGCCTTGAAGACTTTAGGCGCGATGACAAGAGGGCCACGTCTCCCAGGGGGGACCACGACAAAGGTGGGGGAGACCGTCGCTTCAAGAAACGGGGCTCGCCCAAGTCTAGCGATGATGAGCACAGCAATGAGGAGAGACGCCCACGCTATGATAAGGGCAAGGATCATGGAGAGAGGTCCAAGGCTAGTGGAAAATGGGAGCGCCGCGATAAGGGCAAGTGGAAGTCGAAGTGCTACTTGTGCGAAGGGCCGCACATATTGCGACATTGCCCCAACAAGAAGACCATGAGCGCCCTTGTGAAAGATAAGGGCAAGGGTAAGGTGGACGATACGGGCAGCGACGAAGACAGGTGCATGGGGGCAATGCAGATGCTGAGTAACATGGCGCATGACACCAAGAAGAAGGGCAAGGCAAATAAGGTAGCTGGGGTGCGCTATATGGATGCGCAGGTTGGTGGCAAAGCCGTGCAAGTGTTGGTAGACACGGGTGCTACACACAACTTCATTACCCCGGAGGAGGCGCAACGACTTGGCTTGGAGATGCGCAAGACGGAGGGCTGGATCAAGGCTGTCAACTCCGAGGAGGCACGCGTGAGTAGAGTGTGCAAGGAGGTGGAGCTATGCATGGAAGGATGGAAGGGCAAGGCTGACTTCCAAGTTGCGGAGATGGACGACCATGACATGGTGCTAGGGCTGGAGTTCATGGACAAGAACAACGCCGCGCCACTACCATGCCTTGGTGCGTTGATGATACTTGGAGGCGAGGAAGACAAGGCCGCATGCATGGTGCCGCTCGTGGGCAGGAAGGAGAGTCCAGAGGTGGCAGTCAACATGATGGAGCTCGTGAGGACTTCACATCTCCCGAAGGACGCTCGTACGTTTGGGCCAAGGACATATGCGCAAGTGCTGATGACCTGCGAGAGGCTGGGTCAGCTGAAGAAACCGTGACGAGGGCGTCACAGAAATGGGTGGGGGAGAATGTCACGCCCCGCCTATGGAGGTTGTGCCACGCAGGCGACACGCAGACGCTGAGGAGGACGCTGCATGGCAACTGCATGGCAAGTGGAGTTTCTAGAGTCTTCCGGAATAGTCTAGAGTTATGTGGAAGATTCTAGATATGTGTAGAAATGTGTAGAAGTGTGTGGAAGGTTCTAGAGTTCTCCAGAGTTGTGTGGAGTAGTATGGAGAATTCTAGAATGTTGTAGATACTAGTAGATAAGTATGGAAGTGTGAAGAAGGTGGGAGAAGATTCTAGATAATCAATCTCCACCGTTGGTTAGAATGCATCCTAGCCGTCCATTAGGGATGGGGATGCCTATAAATAGAGGTAGGACTTCATTTTGTAGGAAACAAGTCCTAGAGTGAGTCTTGAGAGCTTTGTAGAGAGCTTGAGTGTTAGCCTTGTACAAAGCATTCTTTGAAGTAATAGAAGTATTCTTTCCTTGCCAACTTAAGTGCCTTAGTGTGTGTGAGTGTGCAAGCCAAGTGAGGAGAGGGCGAGGGCAACTACAACACTAGTAAGCGCACGAGGGGAGTGTGTTGGCTAAGGTGTGCACGGGAGTTAGGCTGACCAAGTACTTGTGAGAGTGGAAGCAACGTCTTGGTGCCGCACGGGAGCAGCTAGAGTGGTGCTGAAACTCTAAGCCCGTGACACAACGCTCAAGTTAACTTTCCAAGTCTTGTCAACAACGAGAACAATTTTTAAAGTTCAACAAGCAGCTACAAATCCGCACACTTCAATTTTTAATGGAAGAAAAAGTGTATAATTAACCCAATGAGGCGACCGAAAGATGCGTTGGGACAAAAGACACAAGACACAAGACTTCTAGTTCCTGGTGTTGCAAATTACCCTTCCAGTTCCTTTTTGGTTAATTGAGAATTAACTAAGGTTAAGTGATGGTGTAAAATTATATAAATACCTTATATAAAAAATAGAAAAAAATTAAATAAGATAAATTGCACTAATACATCCAAATTTGTGTTAAAGACAAACATCTAAAATTTTTAACATTTTTTCTTTTACAAATGAGATCCAAACCCATTCTTAGACCTTAATTAGCATGTCTAACTTTTCCACAAATAAAATACTCCCTCCATCTCTATTTAAAGTTATGCTAAGTACGGTGGAAATGAAAAGAAATAATAACATTAGTTACAAAGGAAAGTGAAAGGAAGCATAATTTTAACCTTCTATTGTATTTGGTTGATTAATGAAGAAAAAGAAACGAAAGAGTAATAATCATATTTGGGAAAAGAAAAGAAAAGAAATAAAATTATTTTAATAAATTTATTATTATATTTTTTTATATATTAAAAGATAAATTTATAGATATTTTTACTATTATACCAGACGTAAAAATTTATTATTATACCCTTTATACATCTGGTGGCAAGCACTTAAAAGAGAGCCCTACCAACAAGCTGAAGACGGTAGCAGGGGCTACTTTCACAATTATCACGCTCGCACTACTTCTCTCTCTTGAAATGCCTCACTCTCTATCAACGTCTGTGTGAGAGAGCTGATTTATATAGTGTTTTTAACTGCTCGTGAGCGGGGTGTTTTTAACGTGTATTTAATTGAAAAGTTGCTGGCCTTCTTAAAACTTTTTTAGGGTTGTTTTTGGTTTAATGAAATTAAAATTGAAATTAATGAAATTGGAGAAAAATAATTTAGAAAATTAAATTAAAATTTTTTCTAATTTCATCAATTCTAATTCCAATGTTCCAATTCTACGCCGCCAAATACAGCTTAAGAGTAATCCTATCAAGACAACTAGGACTATGAGCATTCACAGCTTCGACAGATCGCTTAGCCCCGTTCATCTTCGGCCCACGTTTAACTATGAACGTACTAGATTGAGATACCTTTTTAAAATTTGTGAAAAATCAAACAAATTATTTATTACATCTTTTAATCAAGTAGTTAAATGTGAAGATCTCCTTGTCAGAAGACCTCTCTTAATAATATTATTCCACTTTTAAATATAACTTGAGAGGTTGGATCTATAAAGGTTGATGTGTAATAAATGCATTTTGACTCAAGATTATTGCATTTTATTATCTTTGTTTTTTAAGCCACTCTTTCTAAGAGTATAAATGTATTATATTATATAAAATAAATTAGTTTTGATAAAAAAAATAAAAAAATTCACCTAATACCATGTTGTTTTGGTTTATGCTGTTGATAGATGATCACTAATGACAACCGGTATAAAATATCAAAGTTCAAGACTTTTCTACGCAATTAATTTGCTATTAA